CAGCACCAGCAGCAGCCTCCCTCCTGCTCCTCCTTCTTCTCCTCATCATCCTTCCTCTCCTTCCAATTATCATGACTCTCCCCCTCTTACTCCTCTTCCTCCTCCTGTACCTCTTCCTCCTCCTCCTCCTCCCCACGCTTTCCTCCCCATCCTCTCCTCCTCGGCCTGGTCCTCGCCCTCGTCTTCCGCGCTGTCCCCATTCTCCCCCATATCCTGATGTGTTCTAGTTATCCTTGGCCCTCCCTCGTCTTCCCTTCTCCTCCTGCTTCTCCTCCTCCTTCCCCTCATTTTCTTGTTCTTGGTTGTTGATGATGCCCCTGGTCGTTCTCCTCCTGATGCCTCCGCCGCTGTTCCTCCTCCTCGTGCTCTTTCTCCCTTTCTCTCTCTTTCTCTCTCCCTCTCTCCGCCACGTCCTCATCCTCGCACGCTTCGTCCTCCTGCTATTCGTCCTCGTCCTCCTTCCTTCTCCTCCTCCTCCTCTCAGACTTTCCACTCATAAATGATTCCTCTCCCCTCCTTCTCCTGGCCTCCTGCTACTCCTTCCAGCCATCGTCATTACACCCTCCGTTCCTTCCTCGTCGTCGAAGTCATCATCCCCCCCCCCCGCCTCATCCACAACAGGTTGATCCTGCTTCTCATGTCTCACCTCCTGCCCCTGCTCCTTTTTTCCCCATTCTTTTCCTTATACATAATTCCTCCCTGTCGCACCCGCAGACGTGTCGGTAGGGCGGGCTGGGCGTTTCGCTTGAGACCTCCCCACGGCGTATTGATCATGAAGCTTGAAGTTTGCAACGTGTTCACTGGTGGAGGGCGGGCCGTTTTCGAACATGTGGCTCTCGCTTTAGCAACGCGCACATTCGCGCTAAATGTTCGCAACATTTTCACGGATGGAGGGCGAGCCAGGCACATTCGTGTTAAATGTTCGCAACAGTTTCACGGCTGGAGGGCCGTTCATTTTCAAAATGCGGTTCAAGAGGGTTGCGCCATTCCGCCGACCCCCAGACGAAGTGAGGCCTTGTGGCGTCTTGGTGGGCGCCCGGAAGCCTCGTCAGAGTTTCTTGGGCGCTTGGCGGCTGTTTCTTGGACGCCGTCGCGCGAATGGGATGCCTTCAAATTTCCCGATGCGTGGGAGGAGTGGCCGCCGCGCAGTCGTTATTCTGCGCATCTGGCTCAGTTATCCGGCGTTCTTTGGGAGGGAGCGCTTAAATATGTTGCGCGTCGCGCATGAAGCGAGCTGTTCCCGGAGTGACGTCGCGGCTAGAGGATAGAGTTTTCTCAGCTTGGCATTTGGAGAATGAGAGAGAAGGAGGGAGCTAATAGAATTGGCAACGACGACGGTGAGAGGAAGGAGGTAAAAGGAGGATCTCGAGGACGACGAAACGGTCTGTAATGTTGCCTGGGCTCTGCTTGAGGCCCGCTTCGTGCAGCTGGGGGGTGTCTTCGGGATTATCGGGAGCCTCTTGGGGGTCTCCTTTGGAACATTTCGAAGCCTCCTCGAACTTGTGGGGGCATCTTCGGGGCCGACTGGTGGCCCATGCGCTCCTCCTGGGCCTCCCTTGGGGCCACATCCAATTTTTGTTTGCCGTATTGGGGGCCTCTCGGGCAGTCTTGAAGCCCTGGTTGGCCGTCTCCGGGCCATGTTGACGGTCTCTTGGGCCGCTTTGGGACTGCTTGGGGCGCCTCTTGGCCTGTCTTGGGCGTGCACACGCCATAGAGCCGAGAACGCGAACATCATTCAACATATCACGGGAAATCATTGCTTGTTGCGTTTTGAAGTCCTCTGGGTGAGGCCTCTCCAGGGTATTGGAGCTCTTCTGGAGCCATCGTCGGAGGTGAGGGGGTGAGGTCGAAGTTGAACGGAGAGCCCCCTACCGGGAAATCGGTTTCGGTGTCGGGTTCGTGCGTGCCGCGCGTGCGGGCGAGGCGAAGCTGCGTGAGCGGGCGAGAAGAAAGTCTCCTCCGGCTGAGGCGCGGCCGGACCAAATGATTCCTTTCCGGGGGCCGGTGGCCCGCGGCGTCCCGCCGGTGTCCCGCCAGTGTCCCATCGGTGTCCCGATGATGATGATGATGATGATGATGATGATGATGATGATGATGATGATGATGATGATGATGATGATGATGTTGATGATGATGATGATGATGTCGATGATGTTGATGATGATGGTGATGATGGTGATGATGATGGTGTCCCGATGATGATGATGATGATGATGATGATGATGATGATGATGATGATGGTGATGATGATGATTATGATGATGATGCTGACGATGTTGATGATGATGGTGATGATGATGATGATGATGATGATGGTGTCCCGATGATGGTGATGGTGTCCCAATGATGATGTTGTTGATGGTGGTGATGGTGATGTCCCGATGGTTGTGATGATGGTGATGATGTTGATGATGTTGAGGATGATGAGAAGATGCTGATATGATGAAGATGATGGTGGTGCCCCGGTGATGATGATGATGAGGTTGATGGTGATGATGTTGATGATGATGGTGGTGATGATGAAGGTGTTCCAGTGATGATGACGATGTTGATGATGATGGTGTCCGGTGATGGTGACGATTGTGATGATGATGGTGACGATGATGATGGTGCCCCGATGATGATGATGATGTTGACGATGATGACGATGTTGCTAATGATGATGATGTCCCGATGATGATGATGATGATGATGATGATGATGATGATGATGATGTTGGTGATGTTGTTCATGATGATGGCGAGATGGTGGAGATGACGATGATGATGGTGGTGTTCCGATGATGATGATGATGATGGTGTCCCGATGATGATGTTGATGATGATGGTAACGATGATGGTCCCCCGATGATGATGAAGATGGTGATGCTGATGATGTTGATGATGATGGTGATGAGGTGATGATTCTGATGGTGCCCCGATGATGATGACGATGCTGTTGATGACGTTGATGACGATAGTGTTGATGATGATGCTGATGATGATGATGACGTCGATTATGATATCGATTGTAATATCGAAAGTGAGATCGATAGTGGGACCAAATGTGAGATCGATAGTGAGATCGATCGTGAGATCGGTAGTGAGATCGATTGTGAGATCGATTGTGATATTGATTGTGAGATCGATCGAATGAGACCGATCGAGCGAGACCGATAGTGAGATCGATAGTGAGATCGATAGTGAGACCGATCGAGTGAGACGTTGGTTCCTTCCCCCCTCCCGAGCCTTCTTATCACCCGAAGGGTCGTCTTATAGGTATAAAACATCTTTGGATTTTGGCGGCCTCGGACGGTGGATTTGCAGGCTCCAGAGGCCTCAGGGGTGCGTTAAAGAGCCCGGGGACCCCCCCCCCCTCAAACGCGAATTTGGACCCGGGGGAGGAGGAAAGGCATGTCAGATGCGTTGGCGTCACATCTGACGCTCTACCCCTCCCTCCCATCCCTTACCATGGCGTAGATCCCCTATCGATTCGCACAGTCGGATGTCGAGCAGGGCAGTGATCCCAAGAGGGTACGCGATTGATGGAAAAGCATGGCGTAGAAGAGTGCGCCCGAGTATAGCATGTCATAGCATGTCGTGGCATTGCGTAGTGAAGCGGTTCATCACAAAGCATAGTCACGCAAAGCATGGCATCGCACAGCGGTGCGCAACACAGCATCGCATTGCATGCCGTGGCATGGCACCAGATGACATGGAGGGGAAGTGGCCCGTCTATGAGAGAACAGGGCCTGTCCGGAATGCCAGCTCCATGTCTTCCGCAACCGTGCTTGCTCGATGTGGGCGCTTTCGAATGCCAAGTGCCGTCCGGAGGCGCGGGAACGAGGCCAACGCTGTAGCGGGAGCACGATTTTGAATGACCGAAGCGCGGAAGAGAGGGCGGCGCTGCAGCGGGAGCACCATTTTGGAAGAACCAGAAACGATCGGATTGCAAGAACACATAGGAACAAACAAAGCGTGACATCTTGTGTGTAGAATCTACGCGGAGAGGACGGGAGACTCTTCGGACTGAGTCAGGGGAGAGAGGAGAGTAGTATTCAGATTGTGCAATTATGGAGGAAGAGGGCCAGCTTTCTCACACGCCTTTTCACCACCAGAAAGCGGGTGTCAGCGGATTCTTGCCTTAGCGTGGCGCACATTCGTGTCAACAGTTTGCAACATATTCACTGGTGGAGGGCGATTCCTTGTCAAAATGTGGCTCTCGCCCTAGCGTCGCGCACATTCGTTTTGACTGTTTGCGACAGCTTCGCTGATGGAGGGTGGTTCCATCTCAAATGTGATTATTGCTGTAGCGCCGCGCATACTCGTGTTCAAAAGCTTGCAACAGTGTCACTGATGGAGGGAAGGCCGTTTTCAAAATGTGGCCCTTGCCTCAGCGCCACGCACATTCGTCTTGACTGTTTGCAGCGCTGTGGCGGATTCGCGCGCTTGAAATCCCAGGAACGGTGTGTTGGTACGATTTGGGTTTGCTTGGATGCAGCAGTCACATTGATTCGTGGAGTTGAAGTCCCAGGAATGGTGTCCTGGGACGCTGTGGGGTTTTCAAAATGCAGCACTCACGTTGATTCGCGGCGCTGGCGTCTCAGAATGGCGTTTTTGGAACGATTGAGCATTTTCAGCCGTATGCTTTCCAATGGAATGTTGCCCGCAATGGAGATGATGTCTTGTAGGGACCTATGAAGAGGGGAACGTGGAGGGAGGGTTTCGTGCAACATAACTGGTGCGTCTTGGGTTTTCACAGGTGCTCCTCACCCTGCCCACCCCCTCCTCGTCCTCCTCCTCCTCCTCCTCCTCCTCCCCGGGCTCATTTTCATCGTCATCCTATTCATGCTCTTCTCTTGGCCGGTCAGAGGGATGCCAATGTTATTCTAGACGCACGGACGAACAGCCATAATATTACATGATGCGGGCGCTTCCCGTCCGAATGATGTTTTGTTTTTCTGGTTTGGCATTAGCGAGTGTCACCGTAGTGAAGTTCTCTTGTTCGCAGCTCCGCCCCAGGATCTCCAAGCTCAGATTCGAATCGGCCAGGAGGTCCTACAGCCTGACCTCCCGCTTTTCTTTCACGACAGCCAGACGCACACTGTAGACGCATGTGTGGGCAGTTCGGGAAAATGGATACGCATGTTTGGCAGCCATCTCGCCAGTGATTCACCCCATTGCTTGCAAGGGGGAGCAAGGCCAGTGCAATCGAGCTTGATGGTCGTGCATGTCTCTAAGAGTGGAGGTGTAGATTGCGACCAGGTGCGATCACTGGACAAGGGAGTTAGTACATGGTTACACGTTCCCTGTTTGCTGTATCCGTACATGCCTGGTCGATCTGGTCCATCTCGGTTGTTGAGCGGGGTGAGCGGGGCCAAGAGGGGTCCAGAACGAAACCACAACGGAAAGCATTAGGTGTAGCCAGGTAATGCGATGCTCTCCGTCAGACTTCCTCCTCGGCGTCGTCCTCATCCCTCCCTATCAGGCTTTCTCGCAGCTGCCGGAGGGGTCCCGAGACCGTGACTCGGCAGCAGAGGGTGTCCAACGCGTGTACGAGGAAACGCACAGGCGCCCATTTTGCAAGCTCGTGTCCGCGCCGAGCTTGCTGCTCTGAAGCAGGGAGCGCCCCATGCAGATTGGATATTACAAGTCTCGTCGCAACTAACGCGACGCCGCCGGGTGGCCTTTGACGATGCGCACGGTCGATTCATGCGGCGATGGCGCCAGCGACGCCTGCAAAGGCGTTCAAGTTTGAACTCTGGATAATAGAACGACGCGGAAGCACCGAGGGGCACGGTAACGCCACAGGGCCCGGCGGAATTCAGCCTTGAACGATCGGGTCCGCGATCGGTTCAAGGTTGAACGATCCACGTGGTGTCAGAAACCTTTGCGCGCGCCGACGCCGCACGAACCTAGCGTAATCTTTGAGCGGCCATTTCATAGCTGAGAGGCACAGTGGGCACTCTTTGCTGAGCGGACCATCTCAAAATTGACTGGCTCGCGGGAGTCTTGGCTGAGCGCCTCTCCGCCCGCGCGACTCGATGCGCTGGCTTCAGCTTTGAAGGGCGGGGGCTAGCTCGTTCCCGTCGGCGCGACTTCAATTCTGTTTCGTCAGTTGTGGCGAGACTTGCAGTGCTGGGGTGGGTCATTCAGCAGAGGGCAGGGGATTCACAGTCGCTTGGGGGGACTCCGCTACCAACCCGTGCCAGATTTCGCGCCAGGAGGCGGTTGTTCTTTACGGCTTGTGTGGATTGGTGAGACGTGGATTTGGCATTGTCTTCTGTGTACGTGGATCAGTGGCGATTGGAAGGTCCGTGTCTCGGGACGTTCTTGGTGCGTGTCTCTGGATGTGGGCACCACGCCAGTTAGATGTTGAGCAGCCCCATGCGATGCCATACTCTGGTTCCTGATTGTTTACCGTTCAAAGTCTCGGTGGTCAGTGCAATGGCGATTCTCCATTTCTGGGGTGAGAAACAGCATGGCAGGGTAGGGACCTTTGGGGAAGGCGAACATCCAAGTTCCAGCACCCCTCGCTGACATTGTAAGGACTTGGCGAACTTGGCCTCCGATTCTGGAAGGCGGCTGGGGTTCCAGAATCTGGGTCCCTGATTCCACCGGACCTGCCAAGACATGTTGCGCAGTGTGCATAGTGGCAGATTTTTTGTAGGCGGCCAGATCTCCAGGTTGCCATAAGCCCGTCCATGATCAAAGCTTCCCGCCTACCCCGGTGGGCGGTTGGGTCCCTTACGAGGCCGCAGACGCGTCCAGGAGGCACCATGGGGCTTCAAGAGGCCCCCAAGAAGCCCACGGGCCAAAGGCCCCTACATTCACAATTTTCCACACTGAGGACTCGAAGGGGGTTGAGGGTGATCCACCTGACAGTAGTTATTCTTTGTCCGGCCTTTTCAGTGTCGCTCATTGTTCATGTCTTTCGTATTCCCTCATCGTCGTCGTCCTTCGCCTCCTCTGGAAGAAGGAGGAAGAGGAGAGAAGGACGATCGAAGACCAGGAGGAGGCGATGGAGGAACAGAACGAGGGTCAGCTTTCCAACTTCGAATCTGGGAGAGGCGAGTGGCTCGCAGTCCTCCGCCCATCGGGATTTCGTCGAGCCTGCGGTTTCCTCTTCCTCCTCCCCTCTGCCCGTCCCTGTCCTCTTATTCGACGCATCGTAAGATAAGAAGGCTCTCTTCGTAAGATGTGAAGGCCGATGTGCGACCGCGCATCGCAGCACGCATAACACCCAACTGATGATCGAGAGTGTGGCTCTGGCGTCCAATGGCCACGGCTGAACAGAACTGGCGCGCTTCTCCCCGAGCAGACCAGTCTTGGCTACGCATCCTGCTCCCCCTCCGCCTCAGCTTCCTCTCCGCAGCCGCTGAGCGCGGTCCCCACTGGTCGACGCGACGCGCACGGCTGGCACGCGCGAGCGCGCGCCACTGGGCCCCGGCGCGGGACCGACCTGTTCCGATAGGGGGGGTGGGCAGGAGGGGGGAGAGAAGGGCCACCCATACACTCGTGATCCATTCGATTGCCTCCACCTCCTCCTCTATCTCTTCCTCCTCCTCCGCGATATATCACGTGCACCACGTGCGTAGAACGGGATCGCGGCGGGCACGGCCTGCCACAGCCGTGGGCATGGCGAGGCAGGCACAGAGCTCGTAAGGGCAGGAGCCCTGCCCTCGCAGGCCTCTCCCTCACCCGGGGCTCGGGAGACACGGCATTCTTTCAGCGAGGTATCTCATCCTTCGTCCTCCACGTCCTCGTGCTCGTCATCGACAGCGAAGCGTAACTGGTGTTCTCGAGAAGTGCTCCCCAGAGGTTGTGGGGATCACACCCCGAGCTTGCCAGGAGTCACGATCTGTTCGGATCCGTAATATCTGACGGTTTTCCTCGCACCGTCTGAAAATCAGGATCTTGTCGAGTGCAATCCATGCGGTGCCATCTCATTGGGGTGCAATGTAACTGTGGCGTGCACTTACGGAGTGCATTATATGGTTGTCGCAAGCTCACATCCTGTGACAAAAATCAGCAGGTTGTGAAGGTCAACGCATGCGGTGCATTCTTCACGGGGTGCACCCTGTGGCCTGCAGTATGTACATATGTAAATACATACATGTATACATATGTATGTATATGTGTGTATGTATAGATGTTTTGCATGTCGTGTGCAACCCATTGAAGTCCAAGTGGTCACCGGAAGAGTTTGGGCAGGCAGGGCCAGAGTGAGGGGGAGCCATAAGATGCCACAGGAGCCCATAGGAATCCAAGCGGCCACTGCAAAAAGAGAGGCAACCAGTCCGGTTCTATAGAGCCCCACCTCGGTGGAAGCATTGCTTGGGGAATCTTATAAAGGCGACCTCGCCCGTTCACCCGCCCGACCTTCTCCTTGTTCGCTTTCGGACAGACTCGTGCCTCGTGTATCGTCTCCCTCTTCGCCCCTCCTCCCCCAGGCACGCCGCAACACTCACGCGCAGCAGTGACTTTTCGTCAGCTCGGGTAGCAATTTCTGGGCCACGTTGCTCTGCACCCCTGTTCCTTCAGCAGGCTCGAGCCTCACGCCGATGGATGACTGCGTGCGCTCGACAGGCTCTGGCGCCGAAACATACACAACACATACAAGTCCACCCTACGGGCAAGATTCCCCTAACAATGCTTGCACTTAGGGATTCTTTGTTTTCTAAAGAACTCGGCTGGTATAGCGGTCTGGCGGCTGTGTTGCCGCCGTCGCCGCCCCGTCGTCGCCCGTCATTTGGGCGGGTGTGGCTGTCTGGCGGCTATGTTGCCGCCGTCGCCACCCCGTCGCCGCCCCGTCGCCGCCCCGTCGTCGACCGTCATCTGGACTGGTGTGGCTGTCTGGCGGCTATGTTGCCGCCGTCGCGTGCCCGCCGCCGCCTCGTCGCCGCCTGTCGTCTGGGCTGGTGTGGCGGTCTGACGGACATGGTGCCGCCGTCGCCGTTCCGACGCCGTGTCGTCGCCTCCCAAATAAATTCTTTTTTTCCAAAAACAAAATAGGATCTACCCCCCCCCCCGGCGTTATCGATCCCCCTTTCGGGTATGCAAATCATATATGATTCTGACCACATGCCCATCCTAAATATGAAATCACAATGTCACATGCCAGCCGGTATCCCCCCCCTGAGGGTCCCTTGTAAAAAAAACACTATGCGGTGACATTTGTTGTTCTAACATACACTTGTTCACGAATCCCTTGCAAAAAATATGACGAAGTGCACACGCGCGCGTCGTCGCGCGCATGCCGAAATCTTTCAAAAACCTTCGGTGCCGGAGGGATTTCGAAATCGAGCTTCCAAAAAAATATACAAAAACACGTGGTTTCGCAAAACACATTTGCCAAACAAACTTCCGCGCGAGCTCTTGCGAAATCTTGAGAAAACCATAGGTTTTTCAAGATTTTCACAAAATGCTATTAAAAGGGCTTCGCGCGCGCATGTCGAAATCTGTCGAACGCCCTTGCGCGTGTGCCGTCGCGAGAATCCTTTGCACAAAACGGGACGAAGTGCAGACGCGCGCGTCGTCGCGCGCGTATGTCGGAAACCTTCAAAAACCATAGGTTTCGGAAGGATTTCAAAATCGTGTGTCCAAAAAACCTACAACAACACAAGGTTTCGCAACACGGATTTTCAACAAAAGCGTGCGCGCGCGCTCTTGCGTCGTCGTCGTCGTCGCCGTCCTCCCTCCTCCCGCGTCGTCGTCGTCGTCGTCGCCTACGTCGTCCTCTGTCTTTCCTCGTGTTCGTCGTCGTCGTCCTCTTTGGCGTCGTGGTCGTTTCCGTCGTCGTTGTGGCCGTGGTCGTCCTTCCTCCTCCTCCCTCGTCGTCGTCGTCGTCCGTCGTCGGCGTCTCGTCGTCGTCCCTCCTATTTCGTCGCCGTCGTCGTCGTCGCCGTTGTCGTCGTCGTCTTCCCGCCTCCCTCGTCGGTGTCGTCGTCGGCGCCGCCGTCCTTCCTCCTTCTTCGTCGTTCGCGTCGTCGCCGTCCTCCCTCCTCCCTCGTCGTTGTCGTTGTCGTCGTTGTCGTCGTTGTCGCCGTCGTCGTCCTTCCTCCTCCCTCGTCTTCGTCTTCGTTGGCGACGTCGTCGTCTTCTTCGTCGTCGTCGGCGTCGGCGTCGTTGTCGTCGTCGAAGTCGTCGGAGACGTCGTCGGTGTCGTCGTAGTCGCCGTCGTCGTCGTCGTCGCCGGCGTCGTTGACGTCGTCGTCGTCGTCGTCGTCGTCGGTGTCGTCGTTGTCGTCGTCGAAGTCGTTGGAGACGTCGTCAGTGTCGTCGTAGTCGGTGTCGGCGGCGCCGTCGTCGTCGTTGTCGCTGTCGTCGTCTGCGTCGGTGTCGTGGCCAAGTGTCACGTGGTACGTACTGTCACGGTCCTGTCTTAAGAGGTCTTGCGACCAAGTTGCGGGCGGGAGGGTGGGATGTTTGCACGAGCAGTGGAGAGGACAGTTTCAAGACGGTCAAAGATTCATTGCACTCTGCATAGATTGCACAACATATATTTCGGACCTCATCGTTTGCACCATATAGATTGCACAACAATGTTTGCACCACATCTATTGCGCCAC